ACGAATGTGCCAGGAACTCAACTCTTTGTGGCCTCAGCTCAGTGTGTACCAACACCCCGGGGGAATACCACTGCTCCTGCCTGCCTGGGTTCTTTTCACCTGTTGATTGGACCCCTGAGAAACCAGAGGATTTCAGATGTACAGGTAATGCTCCCAGCCATGCTGAGGACTTTTCATGGATGTCAACGTACCCTGAAGAGAGTGGCTTACAAACAACCCTTTCTGCTTGCTCATGATCCTGTGGGTTGACTGCATGGTTTTTGAAGGTGGGGGTGGGCACTAAGGTGGCACGAGGTCTAAAATGGCCTCACTTATATGGCTTGTAGTTGGTGCTTGGCTCTGCGGGGGAGCTCAGATAGGCCCTTCAGTTTTCCTCATGGGCCTGTCCACACCAAAATTTTGGATGGTTACTACTGCACTTGCAATCGAGGCTTTCTGGCCAACAATGGACCGATGCAGTTCAGGAACCCAGGAGTGACATGAAAAGTTGAGTACGCACCCCCTCAAAACCCTCCGCCATTTTGTAGGATAATCAGGTGGAAGCTGGCTGGGCAGTGGATGTAGGCACTTGTTTTTGTCCCAAACGTTATTTTCTCTCCCTCTCCTTCCCTGCCCTCTTTTCATTCTTTTTCCATAGTGACAATGATTCCTGTTTACTCAAAATTCTAACCATTTGGAGCTGACATTTAGATGAAAATAGAAGTGAAAATCAATATCCAGAGATAAACCACTGATTTCATTTTGGGAAATCTTGTGGTTGTCTCTCCATGAAGGAAACAAGAACTTTTAACATTCGCTGAGCACCAGGCCCCCAATGAAGGCATTTATGTGCATTTTTACATTAAATTGAGTGTAGGCATCCTGATGAACTCCACTGTACAGAGGAGGACACTGAGGCTTGGAGTGCTGGAATGACCTGTTCATGGCTGTGTGGTTGGACTGGCCTCCAAACCCAGTCTTTCCAACTCCCACAGCAGTTTCTGAACCAAGTCAACTCTTTGCCACACTCTAGTTGTGCGGTGTTGGGGAAACGTATTTACCCTCTCTAGGCCTCAATGTTTCCATCTGCAGATTGAGCATATAAGAGTACCGACCTCCAAGGATAGTTGGGAAAATTAAGTGCAATGAAGTACGT